CCCCCCCCCCAATTATTTGTAAAATTTCGTAAGATAGGCCTAATAATTGCCAACCTTATGGTCCAAATACCCCTGAAGTAAAGTAAACTAAAATATTCTGTTTTGTTCGGATTAAAGTGTTTTGAGCTTGTTGAAGGATAAGTGGTATCCGAGACATTAGATCCATTCTTCAGACTTTTGTAAGTTTTAAAATAAATTTTTCCTCTGATTTTATGTGGTCCTGTTATAGATCATTAAAATTTATATCTGTTTATTTCTACTCCTGTACACCATTTTACGGCTTGTAGGAATTTCATCTGCGTAGTTTGAAATTTTTATTCCCTTTCAGCGTCCGCTCATGTGTATAATTTGTATAAAAGTATTGGTATTTTTAATATTTTATAAACTCTTACCTTGTGGCTCTTCATGTCCTTTGTACTGACCTACAGACAGCCTGAAGCTGATGGCCAAATTGGCAATGACCAAGCAACCAGTCAATTCCAGATTCCACGCGGATCAAATCATCTCATTTAGCAGCATCTTTAATCATCAGCCTTGGTTTGCTTGATCAATCCTCAGTTGCTCCTTCCAGCCTCCGTTATTTAACTTTTCTGTATCTTGCTTCCTAAGAGAGCAGCTGACAGGACAATGAATCAAAATTCTATGAATTTATAGTTTCAATCCTTCACAAAGTAATCTTGGAAATTGCGCATGTAGCACGCATGTTTAACAAGGAATGCACACTTTCTTTTCTTGTTAAAGCTTGAGGAAGCGGTCACATGAAACACGAAGGATAATATTAAAATGGTTTGTAATTAGTGAATTGGATTTAGTTCGTCATGACGCTAATGCCTGTTTAGTTCTGTGTTAGGTTCATGACCAGCGAAAACTGTTTACTGCTTGTGGTAAGACGCTGTCTCATGAACATGTGTTGATGTTTGAGTGTTTAATTTATTTCGTAGTTTTAAAGGCTATGGAGGATAAACATACAGTCACACCACCAAATAATGGGGCAGAGAGTAGCCCCACAAATCAAAGTCCTGAATCTTCAAGACCACGGATTCAACGAGAGAGGTCGCCAAACTCGATCTGCGCAGTCTGCCTGGGTACAAGACAGAATCCGTGTTTCAGTGATGGCTGCTTGCACGAGTTCTGCTTTGAATGTCTCCGGCAATGGTCGCAGGTAAAGCATTTAGACCAACCGGTATCACATTACTCTAAAAGGCATATTATGATAATATTCGTACATTTGCTTTTAAAATTGAAACTGGGTGACAGACAGACTGGTTTATTTGGATTAACTTCACAGTCCTTGTGTTGTAGATTCGTTATTTTATTCTCAGTCTCAGTGTTAGGCGTGTTTAAAGTTTGGAACTGTATTTAAATTTTGCTGTGTGTTGGTTATGAACTTTGAAACAGAAATGTATACAGAAGAAACACACCTCTGACAGTACTGAAACACTAAATGCACATATGATTATTATTTGTTAAAGTGGTTTAAGTTTTAAACATTTATCTTGCAGGAGAAACCAGAATGCCCCCTCTGCAAGACGAGATTTCGTTCCATAATCCATAATATTCGCTCTGAGGACGACTACGATGTGTACGAGCTGCCTGCTCCAGAAAATATGTGGTTGAACATCGTATATATTGATTTCCTTGTATCTGGACAATGGTACCGACACAGGTAAAAGTTCCAGATTATGTCAGTCACAAGGGAAATAATATTTTGCTTGAAAATTGGGAGAAATGGTTACTGATGTAAGGTCACTATTGACATAGCTCTTTGAGAAGTTAAACGTTACGAAGTTATGGACTGTGCAGCTGCCTGGGATTAAATCCACTTTTAGACTTTCGTGGTTTCAGCGGTAAACCATTCAGATCATAAGAACAGCAATTAACTATTAACTTGGTTTCTGACAACTCTTTCTCTCTTTCTGTACAGTGCCATGTTCAGGACCAACAATAGTGTCGAAAGAATGCAGTTATATTTTCTGGAAGGCAGAATAGAATCTCCCGAAGATACGCCGGCCGATATTTTACCACAACCTTCAAACCCGGAACACAGAGTGGAATCTAATGACAGTACGTCAACCCAGATGCCAACATCGGATTCAAGTATTAGAAACACATCCACGGCGTCCCAACGTTCAAACTCTTTTGTATCTAGTCCTTCCATGGTAAGAATGTCCCCAGCAGCAGTTTCTACTACTAACTAACTAACTAACTAACTAACTCCCTGGTAGCAGGACTCGCAGGTCCAACACCAAAGCCTGCCATTGGACTTCATCCTGATCTTGATACTCCGTCCGTTTACAATCCTCACAGCCCAACTCCCTAAGATTAATGTCCAAACTGCTACTAACTCATATTAAATTAGCAACAAGTGAATGCCAACAATTTTTAAGCCGAACGTGCTTTTCATGACCTAAACTTTAAACTCGCAATTAAGACTAAAGAACTGTGCTCCTACCACATGACACACATCAGGCACACTTCATATCATTGCCACTAGAGGATATCAGAAGGTTGTATCCACAATTTGTAGTCGGAAATTTAATTTTGTTTGTTCTCAGATATTTTTCAATGTGATGAAAAATTAAAACGTGCCTGAGAATTTTCATTTCAGAACTTCGGAACTTTGTTTTCTAGTAACACATTAATATTAAGTGTATGTCTGTTGATCAAGAACTTTCAATATTCTTCCTTTGTCCGTGAAAATTGTATCACCGCTTGAATCATTACAACATTCGTTGCCACTTTTAACCAGAGAATCGAGGCTTTCATGCTAGCAGGAGAAAAATTTATCTTCATTCCTTATGGTCCTTGAATCTGAATATAAAATTGTAGCTTGTATGGGGTTGATGCAGCAAACACATCACCTAGGCAAAAAGTATGCTTACAGTTCCCATTGAAAGTGTTTAAAGCCTGGCAGTGAACCTATTAAGTTTCACGAAGATCTATTTATCTGATAAAATGGCGTACAGAGAAGTAGAGAGATATAGTCTGCATACACTTGTGTTTGTCTACAGACCATAAACTCTGCATACCAGGAATTTGTGAGAGAGTGTTTACGTGCACTTTTCCCACGTGTCCTGGCAATGTCCAGTGGCTCACAGCAGAGTCCCACGAGTAGTGATTCCCATAGTGCCACATCAGTTCCCAGTGTCTCGCCACAACACCCCGCGAGCAGTAATCCTGCAGAAGCTGAGCCAATGCAGAGAGACGAGAATTTTGGATCAGACGACTTAGCAATCATGGCCTATGCAGAACTTTCTCGTGACGCTACACTTCAGGTCTTCTCCTTGGTGTCTTCTGATGAAGAAGACGACGAAAATGCATTATTTGTGAGTATGGTTATGTTCACATGCCATGCGTCGCCACACAACAAAGATTGCACTGTACATTTTTACTTTCGCTGCTGATAAGGAAGGTGAAGTTTAGATACGAACACTCTGGAACACTTTTCATTAGATTCATACAGCGAGAGTTATAACTGTGGGATGATAATAATGGCAATAATACTTAATTTCGTTCGCTTATTACTGCGCTTGAAAACAACAAGGACGTCAATTACTGACAAGCAATGAAGAGGACATGAGACATGAAAACATGCAGATAACACATCTTCTGCATTTTACAGTGTGTACATATGTCGTATAAAAAATGGTTTGCCCCTTTCTTGCATAATATATATTCTTCGGGACATTCACAGCAACTAAGTCTGCGTCTTCCACGGTGCTCATTAGTACATCTTCCTTGTCTTTCCCTTTGGAAAGCCATTACTTCACCTTTTCAGATGTCTTCTTTGTTGCATGGCAAGCCACAGCATCTGCTAAATATGGCAATGCAAAAGAATTGTCAACACTTTCACAATAAGCCTTGCCCTGGAAGGGTTTCAGGAGCGTCATCACAGCTTATGAGAACAGTGGAAAATGTTTGAATTGCTTGCATGTTCGGTGCGACTCTCAATGCGTATCATGGCAATCAAAACATTCCCACTTTTACCCTAGCACAACGCGTGTTTTTAAACCAAACTGGGTTTCTTCAGTGGTATGTGCTGTTCCTAACCAAGCCTTCCCTTGCAGAGCAGCAGACCTTTACCCCATACTTTATTCAGTTTTGGCTTCGTACGTTTTTCTGGAACATAAGTTTTACAGTTGCAAAAGTATGGAACAGAAACCACTGGATTTCATGACCAGTTGATCTGGCGACACGTCTTTGTGTGTTTCAGTTGTTATGTAATGTGCGTAGCCTGTAGTAATGAGGAGGCTGATCAGACTCAGGTGTCACGAGACACAAAGTGCCCGTCAGTTTGAATAAAGCTATTTTGTTATGCCAGTAA